AGCAGTTACCCTGTTCCAACCAGAGCAAAAGAAACCAACGCAGACCAGATTAAATCTAATTTTAAGGCCCCCGTCTCTGAGAAAAAAATGCAGTGGCTAAGCTGCCAGAGGGGTCAAAATTTTGTCTTTTGCCGGACAAGTTTGCCGAACTCTCTTCCTTTGCATACATTCTGATATTGTGAGCTGTCTGGAATGAAACCTAAAGAAACCAGCCTTCATCTGCAAAGGTGTGTGGGGCAGTCGGGCCAGGCTGAGCCGGTAGCTGAGGTAGGTCTGAACCTGTTACACTAAGCACGTGCTTGGTCAGAAGGGCATAGATGTTTCTTCAGCGATGGCTTTGCAGGTTTTATCAGAACTTTGCTGTGAGCTAATCACTGAGTAGAAGGAGAAATGAGGAGCTGGTGGTTTACTGTCTTCAACTGCTGGAAGTCAGGAATAATTGGGTATTAAGATTATGTGGCAATTTTTTTTTCCTGGCTTTACTATTTGTACCTCCTCCAGCAAGAAAAGTGTCATAAGATCTACCTGAGCCTTTGTTTTAACACCCAGGCATTGCTGGGGTAGCAGTGAGCTGCTGCTCGGTTGCATAAGCTGCCCGGACTGTGTTGGAGCAAAATCAGCTGCTGGGACCCGTGTAGAGCAGCTCGTGTGCTGGGGCCCGTGTAGAGCAGCTCATGTAGAGCAGCTCATGTGCTGGGGCTCGTGTAGAGCCGCTCATGTAGAGCAGCTCGTGTGCTGGGACCTGTGGTGTAGAGCAGCTCGTGTGCTAGGGTCCATGTAGAGCAGCCCGTGTAGAGCAGCTCGTGTGCTGGGGCTCGTGTAGAGCAGCTCGTGTAGAGCAGGTCGTGCACTGGGACCTGTGGTGTAGAGCCGCTCATGTAGAGCAGCTCGTGTGCTGGGACCCGTGTAGAGCAGCTCATGTGCTGAGGCCCGTGTAGAGCAGCCCGTGTAGAGCAGCCCGTGTGCTGGGACCCGTGTAGAGCAGCTCATGTAGAGCAGCTCGTGCGCTGGGGCTCGTGCGCAGGGTAGCAG